TATATATATATATATATATATATATATATATATATATATATATATATATATATATACTATTACTATATATTTAGTAAAAAAGTATAGAGTGTAAAAGATGCTCTGAACCGCGTGTACAAATCCAGGATCGTTAATTATAATATTTACTACGATTCGTAAACCACATATAATATAATACATATTATAGTACAATCGGTCATCTTGAGGAAACTTTTTGATTTGCCATTTTAATAATAATTATATGTTACATTTACCACCATTATTGTGACTGACAGACTTACAGGATTTTGTGAGCTATTCATTTTTATATGAATAATTCTTTTCGGTACTATTCCGACGAGTAGTCATTTTTACTAGTTCTCACATCTGAAGTTATCTTTACTTTGACGTTACGAGAAACACTAGCAGAAAATCGCATTACTATAAATATAGAACGCTATTGCCCATACCACATTCGTCTGAACGGTTCAACACGCGTAATAAGATTATAGCTGGTAATAATATACGTATATGGCGTAAAGTAAATACAGATCACATCAGTTGTCCTCGTCATCGTGACTACCGTGTGTGAATAGTTGACATTCATCGAAAAACAAGGACATTCCGCCGTGATGATCCGATTATATTATATCCCGTGCTGCCTTCTACGCGCGTAGTGTATATAATAACATCGCTTACACTTTTGGCCATTTTAACCCTAACCCTTTTTTAAGACCTAACAAATATTCATACTTAAACGTGTTCTGGATATATATCTGTTCATTTTTTTTTATTGTTCTTAAAAATATGACAGTATATTTTGGTACATGGACCAATTTTGTCGACAATGTTTATAGAAAAGTATTAAAAGAAAATTTTACCGATCATATAAACTGTAGTTTATAAGAAAATGCACTATTTCACAACTGCCAGTACGTTACAATTTTAATAAGCTTTAAAGATAAAACTCCATTCTAAGAGGATTTTTGGTTAAAATTATGGACGTAAATATACTGCAAATATATTATATGGAAGAAAAGGTATAGAAAATGTAGTTTTTGCAAGTTGAAATGTTCATATAATTACTGTTTTGAACTTTATGATACAGCTAATTAATTTTTATTTGTTTAAATCAAAAAAAAATTAATTTTTTATATATGTAAATAGAATAAGAAATGTGTCAGATTTTTTTAAGTAGTTTTTTATAGAACTTGTTTATAATAAATCAAACTAACCCATATTGTAAAGTTAAAACCGAACGAAAAAAACCTAGAAAATATATTTTAATCAGTACAGATACAACTTTAAAAAAAAACAACTTAAATATACATTTATTGATTTATCATTATACATACAATTAAATAATAATTTCAGTAATCATTTCTCGTGAGAGTCGTGAGTAATATTTCACCCAGCTTAATGTATGTAATTTCTTACAAACCACAAATGCAGGAAAAAGTAACTGACTAATAATTTAAGATCGCAACACATTTACAATAACAAAATTGTACAATTACATGTTCTAATGCATTTACAAGTTGTAATTGGTAAATACTGTAGTTTAATTAATTGTTTATATAGGATTCAATGCGAGTACTAAGTTATAGTTATAGTGTGAGATTTTCTCGTACAATATGTTTATAAAATCTATGTTGTTCCTAGTCGGTCATCCAAGAAATTTAACAAAAGTGACCTATTAAATGAATATAGTTTGAAATTATTTTTCAAAAAATAATAAGAAAATCTTTTTATTTTTCTGCTATTGATGTGTTTTACGATTATTTTATTTTCCATAAATTATCATATGCATGCGCGTTGTTCTAGCGAAAGCCGTAATAACGAATTTTCCGAGTACCTAAAAATTTTTTTTCTCGGTAACCGCAATAATCAAGATAAATTTAATACCAATGACCAAAAAAAGAAAAATAACCGTGTGGCCCGACACTTCAATACGTGATTAAACGGTTTAAATGCCATTCGTCACGTGATGCTGCTACAAATGGTACTAAAGTAGCAATACTCGATTGTCTATAGATTTATTACTTAATAAAATCCAATTCCCGTCCATACGTACATGTTATATACCGAAGCGCAGCGATGTTAGGTACATTATTATTAGGAAATTATTTATAAACAGTATAAGTATACTTTTAGAGTCATGTGGTCTCTATGTAAGCATTATTGGAAGTCCGTTTTAGGGCCATGTAGGACGTAAAGTAGACAAATATTCTACTATGAAATATTTCGCAAGTACTTACATATATCGTATAGGATGTACGCATGTGTATCGTATGATAATACAAGTAGTATGTAATACTACTTGAATAACACGTGCGAGACGGTATCGAGAACACGCGTTGAATCTTTTTAATTTTTTCTCGACATTTCCCGGAGAACGGAATGCGACGGCATTTTTTCTCAGGAGGGTAATAAAATAGGTAAGGTATTTCATAGCATCACCAGACATGGAATCGAAATTGTCGTATATGTAATACATTTTAAATAAATATATTTTATATATTTATAATTCAGGTGTACATGGTACGCTGCAGTTATTTCGGATCGAGATTTAGGAAACACGACTCGAAACTATATTTTTTTCCCTGTGGTCTTTGCACATGGTATATACAAACATAGTTACTTTCTAGATAGATCATTATGTATACGCGCACACACAAACACACACACATACACACAGGATCAAGTATACGACGGTACATACGTGTATGCGCATACGCATTTTGTAATCTCTAACGATTTTTAACCGAGTATGTTATATGTTTTTACAGGTCGCCGCGGTTATTATGGATCTCACATACTTGATCGTAGCCGTATTCGGAATGTGCGTCTTACGGCCGTGCCGTTCGCTGCCCACCGCCACCACCGTCACCGCCGCCGTCGCAGTTGCTCCTACGCCTACCCCGTCACATTCGTCGTTGCATGTCGCTGCCGCCTCCGAACCGGTCGCCAGCAGCGGCAGCAATAGCAAAAGGTCCCGGTCGCTGTTCCAGCCTGCACCGTTGCCGCACCAATACTATCAGTTTCCCGGTCACGGTGGCGTCGATCTGTACAACGACGTGATGGACGACTTGCCGTACTACGCACAGCAGCAGCAGCAGCAGCAGCGACATGCGCAGGAAGAAGAAGAAGACGAGCAGGAGAACGCGGTCGACCAGGACGTCCGGCTGTCGAGCAGAGCGCGACCAGCCAAGCCCGACTCACCCGTCTACTACATTCGATTGCCGCCTCAACCATACATGTACGTGCCTGGTTATGGTTACGTCAGCCAACCGACCCGATTGGAACCGCCGCCTTTCACGCAACGGCCTCACTCGCCTTTCCTCAACCTGCCACTGGACTTCGTGTCAAACGCCAAACCTGTGGGCATCTACACCCTACCGCAACAGCACCAGAACAATCAACAGCTGCATCAGCACAACCATCACCATCACCAGCCGCTGCAACAGCAACAACAGCAGCAGCCACCTAGCAGACCGAAACCGAACAGGCGACCCCCGCAACCTGTCCCATCTACGCTTGCTCCCCGGCCACAACAACCGCCCGACTCACCGATTTACAATCTGGACAAAGGCCCGTATGTTTTCAATGGTCGTCCGTCCGACGTGTTCCTGTTGCAGAGTGCTTACGACAACTTGTACTCCGAAGTACTGCAAAATATTTACCCATAAATAAAACACGAAAGACACGATCTAGTATTATTATTTTATTATTATTATTAATATATTTTGTAATTTATTATAATTAATTATAACGCTAACGATGCTGACCTTAACATTATGGTCGATCGCGATTGGTAGACGATCCGATGGTGATTTTACTCTAATCAAAAATCAAAAATACGAAAGCGATCGCTGATGAGAACCGCACGATCAAACGACAACGTATTATTTTAATTTTATCATACCAGTATTGTTATTGTTTATTTATTCGATTTTTTTTTTAATTTTTTTTGTCTTATGCTATAAATCTTAAAATATTGTTAAATGTGTTGAAAATTATTGTACATATATTGTATGTTGTCAACTTACCTCCGTTTCGTATTATAAAACACCAGATTATCTCTATTCATCGTCCTATACACACGACTATAATTGTTTTCACATGTTTTTATTTTCCAATATAAGCACTCCGATATTTTTATTTTAAAATACGTTTCATTTTCGCAAAAACTGTCTTTGATTTTCTACTCTGATGTTTTCTTCCAAATAAAATCCAATATTTTTAAAATTTCATAATCCATGGCAGTTCGTTTTTCTAGAAATGAACATGAATATCGAATAATGAACTACTCGTAATTTGAATTTAATTTATTACAATTTATTTGTAAGTACTTAACATAGGTATAGAATTATGTAGAAAAGTGCGTATTAATCGAATAATACGGCGACGTGATTTTACTCATATGTACATATATAATACGCAAAGTTATTCTCATTTATCTCAATGCACTAAAAATAAATAAATGTATTTTTTATACTATTAAAAAATTGAAGTTGTATTATTATTTATATAAACCCTATACGTAGGTACCTAAGCGTCAAACACTTTATACTCAAATATATATAGATATATATATGTATACATAAAAAGTACATAAATTCATACAATATGTAAATTACTAGTAATAATGTGTAATTAATTAAAGAACTTTATAAACATAGCAGGATTGAATTTATATACACGATAAAACAACAATAATTACGTTCTGCAATTTAGTTAAAAACATCTATTTTTTCAATTGATCCAAGATCGGACACAATACATGTCTATATATATAGTATTATATAAATAACTCATAGCCGCCCGCGTGCAGTGTACATTCCTCTCTCGACAAATAATGTACATTTTATTTATTTTTTTACTTAAAATAATATATATATAACTTTGAATCGTGTAATTTTACGAATGCTAATTATATTTCAATTGTTCAATTTATTACCAGTTTAAAAATGACACAAGACTATTATATTCAAATTATATATAAAAACTATTAATCCTTAATACGTTCATTATAGTGACACTAGGATTTACTCACTTCAGTCTAAATTCTACATAAATTGATAGGTATTATTTTGCTATGCAACTCATTCTTTAAGTAAAAAATATATTCATGATTTCATTATACTCGTAACATTCAATAATTCTTATACCCAGATCATCTATTATTAATATAAGTTATAACTATTATATATTTTAAATTTACTATCGTTGACGTTTAATTAATTAAATTTTATATTTTTTATCCTCATGTTATGCTGTAATGGTTGGCTAAATGAAGTTAGCAAATGTGTACAATAATCCTACAAAACTGCGAATTTTATAATTCAAAATAATTAATTTTGATTAAAATACTATAAGCGAAGGGTCGATTAACTATACGTAACGTTTTTTTTTTACGGAACTCATCTTAGATGAAAATCATGGTTGCACCTGAGTGGTAGAAACAGATTCAAAATAATAAATTAATTGTTGTAAGTATAACATATAAACTATCATAGATACTTGTTATTTAGGTTTTGACATCAACTGTTGTTCGATAATATGAATTACGAGTACTTCTTATATAATTTGTTAGATCTATATAAAAATAATTTGGTGTGTAAAAATCTTAAAACTAATTTTCAAATTTAAATTTAATATTTGAAATTTCAAAAAATGTCCTAAAAACAATAAAAATTCACTAAGATTCATTATTCTATTAAGAATAATATTCCTAATGAGGTGATATCTTATTTTCAAGTATGAATTATTTATGTTTTCCAAATTTAAGTATAACGTCTCAGAGGCCTATTTAATTCCTGGATTCCTCTTTTTTTTAAATTGATCAATCCAAATTTAAATAATGTAAAACATAAATCGCACTTTTTATACATTATGATGTATACTAATGGAAGTAGTTCTTTGTAATCAAATTTACCACCCAGGACAGTATCCATCCGGTTTACTACCATCATCACATATTATTCTTCTCTCACCCATAAAACATTTTCTAAGTTTATGATAAAAAAATACATTCCAGCGTATACCCAAAACTACATTTCTTAAATTATTATTATTAGATTATATATATTTAATATATGTGTACAGTGTGCTTGATATTTAATGTATTTACAAATTATTAAATGTTTTTATGTACTCTTCCAGATGGAAAAATGGTAGTCATATTTTTTAATAATGTATTTCTGAAAAAAAAATTAGAATTGTGAATAATAATATTACTATAAAACATGTTTAATATTATTTAAATAAGTAGGTAATCGTACAATTTTTTAAATATTAGTAATAACTCGTGCTTTACATTTACGAACTATGACATACAAATAATTTCATAGATTTTTATTCCAGTCATACTATGGTATTTATAAGACAACTTTATGTAAGTAAATAAATTGTAATTAAAATATTGGTAGTATAATACTTATTATGAACAACGATACCTCTGTACGAACAGGTTTTGAACATAAAAAATTGCAAATTAAAAAAAAACGTTATATTTACACGTACATCTAATTAGAATTTATATATAGTAGGTAAGTTATATTTGGACCATGTTTCATATTATTTTTGTAGCTAATAATTATTAGTGCACACTCATAATTTTCACAGTCCACGCATTATCCATATAACTATTTGTTGTATTGGATGACGATTGTGATAGGAGTATAAAATACATCCCAAAAAACAGGTTTTTTATTATAAAATTTACCAAGCCATTTATTAGTATCGCTTAAAACCGTTAGAAACCAGTTACCTATAAAGGCACTAGCGTATTCTTTATGTAGGAATCTATACTAAAAAAACAAACAACAACTCTAATACAATATATTTGACGAGTTGACCCACTCAAACAACAATACAGTTTTCGATATACAACATATTATATTACATAAGAAATACAAAGCTTCCAAATTTCATTCTGATTATGTAATTTTTTTTAATCTACGTAAACTATGCAAGCAACAAATTAATAATTGTCATTCCGTTCATCTTATTAATACACAAAAAAAAATTTTATCAGAAATCCAAAGTATTTTTGGAATTATGTTAATATATATAGAAATAATAATGATATACCAATTTCTGTTCACTTTTCAGGAAAAACTTAATAACCAATCAGAAGTTGCTAATGCATTTAGTGAACGGTTGTCCTTTGTATACGAAAAACCTATTTAATTTAATAACTTTGTACTAAGTAATGTCATTGACTGTATAAATATTTATTTTTTAGATTCAGCAAAGTCTTTGATTCCCTAACCACGTTAAAATGCGTTTCTTCATCTGGATATGAATCTATCTCACTTATCCTGTTTCATAATTGCCACTGGGCATTAACTAAACCTTTATATCACTTATTTGATCTCTTCTTAAAGTTTGGAATATTTCCCGAAGCTTCGAAAATTAGTTTTGTCACATTAGTTTTGAAAATCTAGTGATAGATCGTCAATCACAAACTACAGGCTAATTTCAAAAATGAACTTTATCCCAAAACTCTTTGTAAAAATCATCGAACCTAAATTGATGCATTTATTTTCTAATGATCTTATTAGTGAACAACATAGTTTTTGTCGCGTTAAATCCACAGTAACAAATAATTTGGTATTTTATTCATATTTAGTTAATATCGTTTTATCAGGTGGTCAAGTTGATGCTATCTATACAAATCTCCAAAAGACATTTGACAAGGTAGACCACGGTCTTCTTCTATTAAAATTATATAAATTGGGTGTAAGAGATCCACTATTATCTTGGTTCTCTTCATACTTAAGTGGTCGCTCTAAATTAGTGAAAATCTATAATTCATTCTCCAGAACAATTAAGGTCACGTCAGGAGTCTCACAGGGTAGTAATTTATCACTTTTGCTTTTTTATTTGTTTATAAATGACCCAAATAATTGTGTTAAATCATCTAAGTTTTTACTTTAATGATGATATGAAATTATAAATGCTAATCAATTCGCCCAGTGATACGACTTCCCTACAACATGATTTAGATCTATTTTCTAGCTGGTGCATATTGAATGACATGACACGTTTATACGCTTTTAAAACGAAATACTCGAATAATAACAACGCTGAAATTGCAAACTATATAGGTCTATATTCACTTAAAATAAGAAGATTAGTATATATTATCACGTTTTGTATAAAATCTTGAAAATGGATTTTCCGGAATTACTACAAAAATCGGTCTTAAATACCTTCTTTTAATTCGAGATTTAATTCACCATTTGTTATTCCTCATTTTAAAAATAATTACTTTACTAATAGTCCGGTGTATCGCCTACCAACATCATGTAATTTAATTCATAATTTTGACTTTTTCTTCGACTTTTTTACAAAGTTAAAAAATTGTATTTATAATTTAAATCTTGATGTTTATTTTGATTTAATTATATTTAATTTTCTTCTCAATTGTTAATTTAGCGATATTTTTAGTTCACACTCACTGTACTCTTACTCTTTGGGGTATTAAAATATTTATTTAAATAAATATTATTATTATTATTATTTTTATTATTATATTATGTGCATATAATAGTCATCAATGTTAATACATTAATAAGTATTAATGATATTTACATTCAACTCTTCAGACATGTCTAAATAAACTATGAATATAGATATAAGAAACTGTATTATCCTGACATATACATTATTTATATTACATTTCATATTTATAATTAAATCTGTCGTTACACGCTACATACAAGAAGATTAATTTGTTTATTTCAGCGGATAAATTATGCTCACATTTCACACGCTCGACAAACAAAGCTAACGCAGAGATAATATGTTTTCGGTCAAAGGTTATAACCACCACATTTTTATTAATAGCTTATTATACAGAAAATCGAAAAAAAAACTGAACTATAAAAAATGATAAATTTAAGTCATTAAGAAAATTACTTTTTATTTTTGTAAATCCAATAAATTGCAATATTTTCCACAGTTTTTAATTTAAAAAAACCGATTACAATCATTAAAATAAAATATTTTAATTTGTTCGGAACAAAAATTTAAGAATCAATTTTAGACTTATTATAATTTATGCTGAGGCTAGCAAAGATAAGAAAATAATATTTAACACGTGTCATAAAATAATATAACTAATGAAATGAAATAATACGAGATTTTATTTTACATATCTATATTGATTTGTTCGGTTATTAGAGCCTGATGAAAAATAATATTTAACATTCTCATCGAAAATGTTCCCATACGCAAAGGTTATCTGGTCAAGTGGATAATTTCTTATACTTATGGCTATACCATTTACCACGTATATTATTTGTCGCAGCATAATTAAAACACCGGCCAATGCGTGACTCGAATTTTACTCGAATTTATATCAGTGGTTTATTCGATATACATACAGACATAATAAATAATAATCGCATAATTTCTATTCAACTTATTTATACATCTGTTGATGTTCATTTTCGTGTCATTTTCGAACATTGTGGATAAATAACCGTACAGATAGTTTTCTAGAAAAAACGAGAAACACGATTTTCCGTACACTTTACCCAAAGACCTAATATATGTCGTACTGTATATGTTGTATATGTTATTAATACCTGATATACGACGTTGTGGCCCGACTCCGTTTTCCCATCGAACCATTATAATAATAATACCAATCCCTGTATCAGCATTAATTTTGGCCAACAAGGGGAAATATGTCCAAGCAATAGGATATATACTTTGTATTACACTATGGCGTGCACAGTCGAACGACCTTTAACGATCAGAATAGTGCATTCTTCTTCATTTATTATATTGAATGCCGTCGTACAGCGAATAAAGCTTGTGAGAGCTACCCTCTGCGTATTTTGGGGTCGGCGCTTTAATGCACTTCCGCTTGGCGCGCGCACGCCATGCGCGCCCCTTGACACACACGAACAACAATAACACCACTATCATATGGCAACACGCGCGGACCAAAACAAAACCATCACAAGCGTATTATGATTTTGTTCGCACTATACTATCATAAATTATATATTATACGTCAGCAGGCTATCGATTTGCTAGTAAGACCTACTCAGTAGTTACAAGTATATATCGGATATATATATATATAAATTATTAACGTACAACGCCTCGACATTTAGAAGTTTTTTTGGACACTCCATGAATCTTATAAAATTACCTAGTGTATATTTGTAGGTTTGCTTATGTTTATGTTCAATACGTGTTTTTTGAACATACATTTATTAAATAGTGTATAGGTATTGTATACGTGGAAAATAAATAAAAATGTCCCTGTTATAATTGAGTTTGATCATTGTTTATTTTCGGTCTACTAACGTGACTAATTAGTTTAAAAATCAACGTAAAAAATAATTCAGATATCGGTAACAATTGAGTGGCAGCTGTGACAAAAAAAATGCTTTCACATTTTTTTAAAATATATTTTTAATAGCAGTACAAACACATGTATACTACATGTATATGTGTGTGTGTATGTATTTATGTGAGTGCGCGCGCGAGTGTGTTTAACAATATTGCCCGCCCTCTTTATTTCCTACTTGAACGAAGATGTACCGGCATGGAGAGATGAGTGTCTCGCTCACTGCGTTTCCTAACCTTAGTCAGTTGATCTTCGGCTTCCACTTTGTGAAGTTTGGCATGGTGAAGTCTTGGTAGATTTTTTTTTACGATATTACCTTCGAATACAATACGTTAAATACTCGTATTGTCAACGATCATCCAATTGCATTTCAATACACTGTACATCTATAGTGTTTATTCGTGCATATAACAAGGTTAGTATTTTAATTATTTTTAACTAACATATTAGTATACTTACTATAAAATATTCTTTTATTAAAACATATTGAAAATTATTCCTCGAACAGTATGAATTTTATCATGGATTATTTTCATTGTATGTAGGTAAATAAGCGATATAGTTGTTGGTTATATTTTTATTATTTATAAATTGTTAATGTAATTCCATGTCAAATAAAAAAAATTCTATAGATTTTATAATAATTAATTAAATTCAAAATAGAACTTATGTTTACCATTTATGCATGATTTTAAATTGGTTGAAATATTATAAATTAACGTATAGGAACGTATAAATTAACAGTATTTGCTGTCCAATAGTTTTATAATCTTACAATTTACAATAGTTTTAAATTATTTTTAAAATTTTTTATGCGAACTTAATTGAATATATTTTATTAACACTTACATAATTATTATTTAATTAAATCAAAATATTCATTAATAACATATAGTTTTTATAAACCATATTTATTCACATAACTACATATTAAAAGTAAATAATTTTATTTAAATATTTTTTTAAATTAATTTACTAAACACTAAAAGAATTTATTATGAGTTTCAATCATTTTTACAATAGAATTTGTAGAAATATATTTATAATAAGGAAAAACGGTTTTGATAATTAGTTTTTATTTAAAAAAGGATGGCATCATTACATTATTATTGTTAGAATTTTTCGGTTAGAAAACATTGTATAAAAAAAATTCAAGACATGTATTCATATGAAAAAATAAAAAAATAAACTTATAACAAGCAAATAACGTGTTGTATTATACATTTAAAGGTAGATACTATTACCAGAAATGGCATTAGATTCGGAATATTTTTTTTGTGAATCTTCATTTTTTTTTTTTTTTAATAAAAATATCAGTTACACATTTATTGTATTCCTACCAAAAATTCGTCGTCGCGCATTTATTTGAATAAAATGTTTCTATATTACTTGTACTTACTCTACAGAGTCATGAATTAGTAGTGTAATCAATGCGAATTTGTTTTAATTGAAAAAATAACAGCTTAATTTCAGTTAGAATTTATCTTAATCACGTTAATATTATTACTAATCGCTTTCTATTTTTTTGAAAAGTGAATGAAATAACTATTGTGGTACACAATAAGAGTTCAAGAATTTTTTTAGAATTATAGGAAATAAGCAAAATATAATTAAAACTATGAATTAATTAAATCAAATTAAAAAATAGAATATAATAATTTTTTTATGGTTAGCCAATAACTGGTCGTAGTATTGAATAAATTATTAAAACTAATCTAAGGGTTGAAATTTTTCGAAAGATGTACCATGTACATAAAGTTTCAACCCTCTGAACCCGTAAAAGTAAAGCTACATGCATCTATCTGTGTATTTGAAACATAGTTTTGATGACTTTTTATGATCAATACGGCAGGAAAGTGAATAGAAAATAAATAAAAATATCTGCGCGAAACCCTTATGCATTGCAATGCTCTTGTGTCCGGAGAAACATAAACATCAGAGCGCATATTTCAAGGACTTGACTACGATAATATACGTATGGTTTGTATTTTACTGTCCGCATACGCATAATATAATAATACAGTTGTTGGGTATAGGTATATACAGGTACTACATGTATATACGTCATATTATAAATATATATATATATATATAAATATATAGTGAAAGATTTAACAATACATACACATAAGTACATACTGTCATAAATGCGAGAGAAGAAAATAATATAAACGTGATTCATTTTCTATTGTTCAAAGAATGAGTTAATATTGAAAATATTTAGATATTAATACATCATATTTTAACATCCTCGTAGGTAACGCCAGTGCGCAGAATTTATGGCTGATAATTTCAAAGTATACACGTTAATATCGAAATTATTTCCGTAATTAAAAAGAAACACGAAATTAACGTATTCATTAAATGATGAAAAAATATATGCACAACTTAATATTATTATGATGATGGGAAAAATATCGGTCTTATGCGAAAAAAAAATATATAATTTAAATAAAACGGCCCGAGGTCATTGTGTTTGGGTTAAACGTACGTTTTCCACATGACCTCTACAAATAATATACGTCGGTCGCCGCCGTCGTGTCGCCTTAAATCTATACATTTGAATGTATCGGAAGTACACTAGGCATTACATCATCATTATTATTACATTTTTCTAACCTATGAATAAGTAATAATATTTCCTTTCTTGTATACGTGACCATGGTTAAACTTTCTGCTGCATGTGTCGATTGTCGTTGAGAAAAATTTTTATGGCACATGTAGTGCTTGGGGGAAAATAGTATTTTTTCTTCGAATGCTCATTCCTATAATGGAATATTTTAGAAACACGCAATGATGAATTCCTATATGATGTATTTTTGTTTTTTTTTATTTTCGTTACCAGCTTTATTGGGTCAACGGGTGACAGTGTTTGGGTTAACCAGTTTAAAACGCATCTAAGCATTTAAAATGTTCAACACGTGCTCGATTAATAATTGTCATTCGGAATTTTAATACGGACCACTTTATCGGCAAAAAATTATAATTCAATCCATCAAACATTATAAAATTTATACAGCCCAAATTTTACATTTATACATATGCAAACCAAGTTATATTATTATAATATTATTATGATCTGTATAAAATAACAATTAGTATTAATAGTAAAGTTACGAGTATCAGTAAATCACAAGTTACGACTTGAATTGTTTAGATCTTTTTCTCCTACAAACTAATATTTTAACTTTTAAAATGTCAATAAATATGTTTTTGTGCTTACTAATATTTTGGATTTTTAGCTGGTTTTTTATTATATAATTAACACATATTTAATACATAAATGTATTTGCCAGTATATTTTAAAGTTTGTTAGTTCTATAAACCAAATACGTTTGTGGTCATGATGTAAGATTTTATAAATATTTTTATATTAATTATATAATCAATCAATTGACGTATAGATTATATGAGTCATGGTTCGTGAGTAATAAAATATTGTTAAATATTTAAAAAAAATAAAAATACTATTGTTATTGCAAAAATTAATAATTTATACCTAATATATAATTCAAATGAGCCGATACAATATTTTAAAAAAGTATACATAATAGAATACATTATGTATTTTAAATAATAATTTAAACAAAATATTTATGAATGAAATAGGTAATGTTCCAAGATCATGGTCGAACGTCGTCTGACGCGGTACGCCTGTAAATTTTATTTTGATTTTTGATCAATTGTCATAAAGATTATTATTTCTTATGCTATACTATAAATGTATTTCAAGATATTTGTTAGTTAATTCATTTACGCAAGATATAAGAAAATTTCTAATTAAAAAAACAAACTATTAAGACAAAATTATATACTACTTATGAAATTATTATAAGAAATTAAATAAGTTATTATAAGAAACTTTATATTTTCTTGGTAATAAAATAATTATTTCAATTAATAATAATATTTTATGTTTTCATGCAAAAATAATTATCAAAAAGGTTTCATATACTTTCAAATTCATATATTTATTTTAAATATAGAAAATTTATTTTATCTTGCTTTTGTTAATATAAATATGCTTCAATAATCTACATACGAATTTAATTTTTAGCCATTCAACAGAACCACTAATAATATAATAATATAGAAATATTCCTCTGATTGGTACAACAGAAGAAATTCCATTACAATTTGTTTTTTTATTATTAAAAATATTATGGATTACAATAAAAAATCAGTTTAAAGTATAATTGATATTTTACAATTTACAAAAATTATTATCCTACCTCAAAAATAAGTTTTATTTAAGAAAAATTTAAACTTTTTTTGTCTTTATTGTAATAAAGTGTATTATTATTGTTATAATATAGTATATTATAGTTATATGTAAGTAAAATTAAATTAAATACATATTTTAAATATTTATACTAATTAAAAAAAAATTCAACATAAATCATATATTAGCACTTATATGAAGATATAGTTCAATGTTTTATTCGTTGTTCAATGTCAGAGAATTGATATTTTTGTTTTTAATTTAAAATATATAATAAATAATAAAATATTAAACATTTTAAACACGAAAACCGATTTTTAAAAAATTTATATTTATGAAAAACATTTTAAGTATAGGAGTTACATTACGCAAATAAAATGATCATTGATCATTACTAATTTCATTTTTTTTTAAAATTCTAATTTCAATTTTAAACTTATTTCGTTTCTATTGTTCTTGTAACGATAACTTAGAAATAATAAAAATAATCTTATTTTTAAGCACAATACATTTTTTTTTATGTTACGAGGATATTACACGTTGAATTACTTTGGGTATTATTTTTACAAATATGGAATTTGCAGTTAAATAACCACTACGTCCATTATTTCCACGTACTACGATATTTATTTATAATAAAACATGCACTTTAATATATTATGTTTTTATACATATAATTTATTTTCAAGTTTTCTTCGACTTAAGATATCTTCAAAATTTCAATGTCATCATTTTTAAAACTTTCTTTTTGATGAGAAATTATCCATCATAATTTTTTAAATTAAAAAACATCTTTCTTAATGACTAATTTTTGTGTCCCACCAGATTCTTTTATAAATTTAATTTAGCTTTTTACGTAGCGAAAATAAAAATAAATATATATATTATCCCCCGCATGCTCATGTTTAATGCTGGTGTAATACAAAATGTGTATCTAGATTTACTATAAGAAATTTCAAAGAACTGGTTTAAACACCTATTCCAGGTCGATTGTGCTGCGACGGAAATCCTGGTGACGCAGGATGATAACACTGTACTAGGTATACGATGTAATTATTATTTAATTCTATAGCCCGAGGAGACAAATATGTTTTATTTTTAAATTACAAACTCCTGTGCCATGTCCCAGATTAAAAGTACTTTTTCATAGACTAAATAAATTGTTGACATATATGCCTATAATATCCGTTCCA